GCCGAACTCCACATTACCAGGACAAACGATCCTCTAATTTGGTGGGAAGCAAGAAAAAATCTATACCCAAATTTATATAAAATAATGCTCAAAAGGCTCTGCATCCCTGCAACTTCGGTCCCATGTAAAGAATATTTTTTAAAGCGGGACAAATTTGTAATGAAAAAAGCCGATTAACAACAAAAAAATTAATCAAATTTTAGTTGTGCAACATAATGTTAATTTATTATAATTAATATATTAATAATAATAATAAAAATATATATAATAAAAAAAACAATTTTTTTGTATTTCCCAAACATTCATGATTTATATTAAGCTTAAATAAGCGAATATAAAAGATTTTTTGTACGAGAATAAATTTAAAAAAGATAAAGAATAATTATTTATAAAGAACCGATGAATCGTATAAAAGAACCGATTTACTTAAGAGAACGAACCGACTCTGAACCGCTAACCAAGGTGAACCGTCTTGTCTTTCTCTAAGTTAGATGAATGAAAAAGAAGTTAAATAAAGTAAAATTAGAATCCCTCAGGTTGAAATATTATTGAGTTATGGCGAAGTAAAATCTTTGATAGAATGTGCGAGCAATAAATAAACCCAGTAAATTAGAAATTTACATAACAGAAAGTGATTATATTGCCCACATCAAGGAGTCACATGTAAGGGGGGAAAATTTAAAATATATATTTTATTTTATATATTAATAAACTTTTTGTTTTCTTTCTCTCTTTTTGCTGTCACTATCGTAATCAACCTTAAAAGGCTAATTGCAAAAACTTCATACGTAACAACCAAAATTTATTAATAACTAAAAACGGATAAAGGGCAAGCCATAGTAATAATGAACAAAAGTGACTACCTTTTAAAAATGAGCTCCTTGTTGGATGATCGAACCACTTATAAAAAATTAGACAAAAATCCTATTAAAAAAATTAACAAATAAAATTAATTCTTTGGTGCGATAAGTCTTGGCGCGATAATAATGTAATTGACGAATCAACGTATAAGGTATTAAATAATACAAATGGAAATCTCCCTCAATGCTACGGGCTGCCGAAGATACATAAAACTGGCGTTCCTCTCCGAATTATTGTATCTGCACTTGGCAGTCCTGTATACAATATTGCACAGTACATACATAAAATTCTACACAATACTATAGAAAAACCGAAATCGCATATAAAAGACGGTTGGTCATTTGCAAAAAAAGTAAAAAATATGATCATTAATGACGACAAAGTTTTAGTTTCATTAGATGTAACATCATTATACACCAACATCCTTAAAGAACTTGTAATTGAGGCGATTAAAAAGAGATGGAACACAATCTCACAGAATACCACATTGAATTTGTCACAGCTTACATTCGCAATAGAAACTATATAAGATTCCACATTTAGTTTTAATGGCCACTTTTATGAACAAGTTTTCGGCAGCCCGATGGGTTCTCCATTGTCACCCATTTTGGCAGATATTGTCATGGACGATTTAGAAACCTTTTGTTTAAATTCATTGACTTTTAATGTACCGGTGTACTATAGATACGTTGACGACATCTTCACGATTTTACCACGCTCTAAGGTTAATGAAATGTTATCAGTTTTTAATGCGTACCACCATCGCCTAAAATTTACTTATGAAATTGAAAAAGACAATTGTTTAAACTTTCTTGACACGAGTATCATCAGATGTAATGATAGGAGTCTAATCACTAATTGGTATAGGAAACCCACTTTTTCGGGAAGATATATCAATTTTCTTTCCCACTCAAATATAAAATTAATTGCATTAACAACTTGGTCAATAGAGCCATTCTATTGTCTGACAATAAATTTCACATTGACAATATTCAAATTATTAAAGATATTCTAACCAATAATAATTTTCCATCTCATGATATTAAAAAACAAATTAAAAAAAGATTACATGTAATTAATAATATTAATAATAGTTTTGACAACAAGAGAGATGAAAATAACAATAAAAAATTTGACATGTTTTTTCATATTGTGTTACCGTATATCAATAATCTGACTGATAACATTTCTAAAACTCTGAAGAAAAAAGGATTAAAAATAATTTATAAAAGATTCCAAAAAATTAAACACGCTAATTAAACGCGGTAAAGATGTATTACCGAAAATGAACAAAACGAATGTAGTATACAGACTAGAATGTAATGATTGTGACGCGTCGTATATAGGACAAACAAAAAGACATTTTATTTACTTTATTTATAGATTATTGATATATACATATAATTATTGATTACTAGAGTAAAAGAACATCAGAATAATATAAAGACATGAAACAAGCCACTCGGTGCTCAGTAAACATAAAACCGATTGCAATCATGACTTCCGATGGCTTGAATCATCAATATTTTACATACCGAGAAAAATAGACGAAAAAGAGAGATCGCTGAAATGTTCTATATAAAAAGACAAACATAAAATTAATTTACAAATAGACACTGATAACCTTAGTCCTATTTATGACAACATTATTCAAATGATTTAAAAAACATAATACCAGTCTACAGTAGCTAACTTGTCGATATGACAGGACAACTTTCGTGTTTCTATTTTTAATTATATAATTGCTGAATAAGAATAAGTATTAAGATATAAGACAGGCAGTAAGAGCCAACTCGCGGATGACAGTGCGTTATCCTAACGAAACTAAATTTTTCGTTAGGATTAAGTATCTGTGCATAAGGCACCAAATATTTTACTTGGTCACGGCCAAGATTTAAAATATGAAATAATCTCATATTTGAGATTTAATTTCAATAACCCTTTCACCCCCCTACGGAAATAAGTAAATGCAAGAGAAAAATATAGATCCGAAAGTCGCTGAATCGGGAAACGAACCCGAGACCTTTCGCTTGCCGGGCGACTGCTCTTCCAACTGAGCTATTCAGATCCTTTCGATTCTATACTTTTCTCTGCTATATGTAATAATGTTGGTAAACAAACGCGTTTTTAAGCCAGCGTGTATATAAATTAAGAGTTTAACAAGGCTCTGTAATATAAATATAAATTTTAAGATATAAGACAGGCAGTAAGAGCCAACTCGCGGATGACAGTGCGTTATCCTAACGAAACTAAATTTTTCGTTAGGATTAAGTATCTGTGCACAAGGCACCAAATATTTTACTTGGTCACGGCCAAGATTTAAAATATGAAATAATCTCATATTTGAGATTTAATTTCAATTTCGGGAATTCCCGATTCAGCGACTTTCGGATCTATATTTTTCTCTTGCATTTACTTATTTCCGTAGGGGGGTGAAAGGGTTATTGAAATTAAATCTCAAATATGAGATTATTTCATATTTTAAATCTTGGCCGTGACCAAGTAAAATATTTGGTGCCTTGTGCACAGATACTTAATCCTAACGAAAAATTTAGTTTCGTTAGGATAACGCACTGTCATCCGCGAGTTGGCTCTTACTGCCTGTCTTATATCTTAAAATTTATATTTATATTACAGAGCCTTGTTAAACTCTTAAGAATAAGTATGTATTACAGATCAAATTTAGTGTTAATGTAATGTTAATTTCGCTTGCCAAATTATGTATTTTTGTATTCTAGCACTTGAAAAGGAGACCACAATGTGGGTCGAAACGTAGTGTGTACTTATTTTCAATAAATGAATAGCCAGTTTTTTGTCGAATTAAATGGCATCTTATTATTTGTGAAAAATTTATCACTGGCGATCAACAATTAATTGTGAGGATTATTAATATTTTACAACAAATTAATATTATAACATTACTATTATTCTTATTGCTTATAACACAATATTATTTTCCTTTTAATTATATTTTTCAATAAAAATTTTTATTACCCTGAATGATATTTTAAAAGTAGTTTTCTATTCATTTGAGATATTTTCTTATAAATCAAAAGAGACACACATTGCTGCTAGTCCTATATACATTATATTATATCTTCACTAAAATTCTCTCAATATTCATAAAATAACTTTGATACTTCTGATACAAATGTATTAAAATCGAGAGTACTAACAGTATATACCTAAAAGGTACCACAAATCAAATATAAAAGTAATGATCAGAATTCAATATAATTTTTGTATAGAATACACATATTAAAATAATTAAAGAAATTGTCCAAAAAATAGACCAATTTTAAACAAGTTTGTTTCGCAAAATAAAAATTTAGATTTTGAAAGTTTTACACAGCTTCAAATATCTACTCTCGAAAAGTCATTTATTGAGCAAAAATTGTCTCGCAAGTAATCACAATAGGGGTGCGTTCGTAAACCTTACCCGCTGAGGTATAGGTTAACTTGACGGGGACTAGTCAGTGAACGTGTAGGGACACATCAATCTTCAAGGACTACCTAAAGTTTATGAACGATCTTGAGGTAAAACGATCGCGTAATATAAATTTGACAAATATAATTATCATCATATTATTTTGAATAATTATCTTCATCACTATGTTTATTTGTAGAATTCTAATGTAGATGAAATTTAATCTTAGTTTAATTTACTTTTAATTTTTTTAATTTGTAGAATTAGAATAAGATAAAAAGTAAGTTAAACCAATAAAATTGAAATTAATTTGCGTTAAAGAAGTAATATATAATATTTAGAAATAAATGAAAAAATCATACAAATTAACAATTAGTATTAATAATCTTATCGACTTCTAATATTACTATATATTTACCATTCATTATTCAATATTCGAACTATTCACTATAAATATTGCATATTTTAAATAAATAAGTATTTTTGAAAATATAAAATAAAATATTTTAATTTTTTTTTAGCAAACTATATTATACACGAAAGAAAGCATGAGTAGTGACAGAGAAAAAGCAATTATTGGCACGGCAATATCAATAGGAAAAAAACTTTTGTCCAATTACGAATTTGATTCCGATTCATCATTATCTGATAGTGAAACTGAAATTTTATTGACACTTATTTGCTCAAAAAAAAAGAGAAACAAGGTTAAACGCATTGAAAGATATGTGGAAGAAACCATTCATCATTTCACTGACAAACAATTTCAGTCAAATTTTAGAATAACGCGTGAAACTTTCCAAAGTTTACTTATTATTGTTGGTCCACAAATAGAAAATACTAATACTACTGGAACTGGGAGACCAATGGTCCCAGTTGAAAAACAGTTATTAGCAACAATATGGCTATTAGCGACGCCAGATTCTTATAGGTATCCTGACATTTTTATATATATGTAACGCTGATTTTTATTAGAAGTATGTAAATGTTTGCTCTTTCTGTAATCTAAAAGTAAATAACATTATGATGAAAAGAAAATTTTACTCTAAAAATTCAGACAATACCAAAATCAATTGTATATTTATTTTTAAACTATCATTAAATATATATTTATTATGTCTAAATTTAATTTAAAAATGATGTTCTTTTATGTAACAACAGATCAGTTGGAGAAAGATTTGATTTAAGCAAATCTACATTATTTTCCTGCTTTGTTCGAATTACGACAGCTTTAAATGATTTAGCACCTCAAGTGATTCATTGGCCAACAGAACAGGAACTTCCATTGGTAAAAGAAAAATTTAAAGCTATGGCTGGAATTGATGGTGTTATAGGTGCTCTCGATGGGACATATGTACCAATTAAAGCACCATCAAAGGATCCAGAAACATATCGAAATCGTAAAATGCAGTACGCCATAACGCTGCAAGCAATTTGCGATGCTAATTTAAAATTCATAGATAGTTATTCAGGATATCCTAGTTCAGTACACGATGCTAGGATTTTTAGAAATTCTGACATTTATAATTTGATACGTCAAAATCCAGAAAAGTATTTTCCAAATGATGAATTTATTTTAGCCGATAAAGCTTATCCTACTTTAAAGTGGTGTATTACTCCATATATAAATCGAGGAAATTTGACAAGACAGCAGGGAATTTTTAATACACGAGTTTCACAGACAAGACAAACAATTGAAAGAGCATTTGCTCTTTTATTTGGTCGATTTAGACGCTTAAAATATTTGGACATGAACAGAGTCGATTTAATACCCAAAACGATACTTGCATGCTGTGTTTTGCATAATATATGTCTAGATTTTAGCGATGATTTGATATGCGAATATGTACAAGAAGGTATGGAGGCAATAATGGAAAAACCACAGGAACAAATTATATATGAAAATGAAAATGAAAAACGACTTGGAAATGAACGTCGCGATGCACTATGCAAAGCATTAAATCAAAATCGTCGACAAATGTAATATGTTCTCAGTGCTATATTCTGTAATATAACATATATTCTATAATATATTTTATAACTATATTTTATAATATAACATAAATAGGATATTCAAAAATAGGATCGCCCTAATACAGTTAAAATAAAAAATATACTTTTAAAATAATATACTATATAATAATATCAATTTAAAATAAACTTTTTCATTTAGATACTTTGAGGCGATATTTTTTAGAGTTAATACAGTAACCACGTCTTTGGCACAGATTTAAAGAAATTGAAAATCAATTTTTTTTTCGCATTCAAGAAAAATAATTTATTAAGGGTGCTTTCCTTTTAGCGACACAAGTTGACACAATCATCATTCTGTCTTTTTTAAACATTCAGGCTTTAATAAAAGATAGAATGATACTTGTGTCAGCTTGTGTCAACTTGTGTCGCTAAAAGAAAAACGTATTAATTCAAACAATTTTTTAATCATTAACTATTCAATCTCATTTTTCTTGGATGCAAATCTTCTTATAATTTAAATTAATACTGATATACTTATCATTATATAAAATGTATTGCAGAGCCGGACGGAACAATATTAAATAATCTTATCACAGCTTTATAGCTTTTCCATTAATTTTTCCATCATGCGTTCATAAGAACTTATACTTTGTCGAAGAAGTTCTTGTTTTTCTTCGTGCCTGGCCTTCTTTGCGTTTTCTTTATCTTCAAGTATAACTTGTAAATCACTGAGAGTTATTGTACTCGCTCTCTTTCGTTGTTTTTTTTTATTATCTTTCGCATCATCAAGATCTTTCTGTGTAACTGTAAAATAATAATGTAACTTATAATAAATGTAAACAAATTCTTAACCAAATACATTTATATAAAATAATAATATTTATCATACCTTCAAACTTAATATTGTCATTCGATGAACTTGCTATTGCAACAGGAATAACATTGGGTTTATTTCCAAACAATTCATCGAGTTCCTCAAAGTTATCACATTTTACTGGTGCTGCACCAGTACTTTTAGGACCCATATTATCTATTTTTTTAAAATACTTTTTCTTCATGTATTTCATTTTTTCTTTACATTGTGCTGCAACAAAATTATAGCCTTCGCATTTCATACCACAGGCAATTTTAGTCCAGATATCGTCCTTTTTAATGCAATTGGAACTAAAATCATTTTGATACTTTTTGTACAAATGTAGCAGCATTGCTCTACTTTTATCTGTCCATAAGTTTTTCATTCCTTTATCCAGAACTTTTTCATTGCTCTCTTCTAAGGGTATCAATATTATGTTCTCAGTTTCTTCTAAGATAGATGTCGAACAGCGAGATGAATTTTCTGTATCAACATTTTTTTCGGGTAACATAATTTCTATTCCATACGGTTTGAGCAAAGTTTCAATAATATATTCCGTTAAAGGAATATAAGCCATTCTGCCTGCTGTAAAATATAATTAAAAGAGGTTATGTTATTTGTAAACGTTTTTTAACAATTAACTTGAGAATTATACAAAGCAATTTTTACAAAGGAACTAGATATTAAGCATTTATTAAGCATAATTCGTTCTTTGTCGTGTCTATTAAGACACAACAAAAGGCGAAATAAATGTACCAAATTTCTAAACATATATTTTGTAACTTACTTTTATTGTCACGTAAATAAACTTCCGACATTTCTGCGTTGAAAATTGGATTTCTATCGGCACCTTCTATAACTTTATACAAAGCTTGGGATTGTGATATCTTACAATTAGACATATTTGGTACACTATTGTAATTTCACTTATTTCACGTACGGACAGAGAGGTTTCTTTCCCCTGGTACGGAATTCTTGTGTAAAATGTGAAAAGTGCGTTTCTGCGCATGACGGGTAAACTCTACCTCAGTCGCGAGCAGGGTACATAAGGAGCACCCTGGGTAATTCCTCAAGAACTTTCTAAACGCATGTGGGTAAAGGTAACTTTTCCACCATAATGTATTTTTCGACTTTCTGAACGAGTTCAGAGACATTTATACCCTGCGGGTAACGTTTACGAACGCAGCCTAGGATCTCTCCTAATAACAGAGTATCCAATAATAAATTAGGGACACTCGCACTACGTATATATATGTATATAAACGTATACAAATATATATTCACAAATATTTCCGCCTCGCAGCGCGTGGCCTTATATCCTCACTCGGCGGAATTCTAACTGCGAGAAAAGACGCCGCGTAGCGGCAAAGGTACGAACGAGTGCACGACTTTACGACGAGAAAATTTTCCGCGAGTACTTTCGCGCGCAGTCTTGTCTGGTGGTGTAGCATATGTTACAGGCGTTTTACTGTGGAAATTGTGGCTTAAACACCATAATTATATTTTGTGTATATATTAATTTAAAATTTTCATTTATAAGAGCCATATTATACACTCTTTTATTTTACAAAACATTGATCTAATATTCAACAAATCGAAAATTAAATATTGAACTAATAAAAACAGTTTCTTTCAAATGATTAAATTGCTCAGAAACATATATAGTAAATGCAAAATATAAAACTACACTGACTTCTTTCTTAAAGATTTGAACGGCCAATTTCATATTCATTCGAAACATGATATGCCTTTTTTATTTTTGTGCTCTCCAATCCTCAAGTTGCAAGAATATATTTTTTAATAAATTTTTTTTATAACATAACTCTATTAATCTCACAACGCAATAATCGATTTAACATTTCCACATGAAAAAATATTCATGTAAATACATGTTTAGAAATATATGTAAATATTACATATATTTAGAAATATTTGTATGTATATTTATATTTTTTTATTTGTTATTGCTTTATAATCATTACTATATTTGCAAAATATAATTTATATGTATAAATTTATATTATATATATAAATTATATTATACAAATATGTATTTATATTAAATTTTTTATTTGTTATTATACTTAAGTAATAACTTACTTAATAAAGTAATAACAAATAAAAAAATTTATAATTTAATTTTATTATTATTCGACACATTTGGATAAAAAAATAAGAAATTCTAGAACAAAAGAACATTTTACTTACAGACAAGTAACGCAGTTTACTAAACTTATATTTTATTAACGCTCGTATTTTTATTTCTGATAATAATTCTTTCTAATTTGATAATAGATTTGTAATTAAGTACAAATATGTTAGAAGAAATTCTGCTCGAAATTCGTGTGATGATTTTACATAATGAAAGTAATTTTAAAAAAAGAGAAATGATTTTTATTAAGAAACACAGGAACTCTATTAATTTGCAACGAGATACGAAAAATATAAATGTAATTTATGACAATATTTTAAACTTAATTTAACAACTTTGACTTTCTTATATGTTTATTTATTTTTGTTCAGTTTGCTTCTTTTTACTTTATCCTTCAATAATGTCTCTTTTCTCGTTATCAAGGCCATTGAAACTAGATGGAGCGACATCAAAAATAATACTAGTTTTAGTTTTGATCAATTTAAATACGCAGTGGAGTTAATTTTAGATTCGACTAGCTTTTCTTTTAATGGGGTATTTTATGAACAAACCTTTGGTACACCAATAATTCACCTTTGTCACCCATACTAGCAGATATCGTTATGGATGATTTGGAAACAAAATGCCTCGATAAGTTAGATTTTCGTATTTCTTTATATTTTAGATACGTTGACGATATTTTAACAGTGATTCCAAAAGATGAAATTGATGTCATTCTTAAGACATTTAATGAATATCATGATCGCTTAAAATTCACATATGAAATCGAAACTAATAACAGGATAAATTTTCTAAATACTACAATAATAAGAACACAAGGAAGATTAATTATCAATTGGTACAGAAAACCGACGTTTTCAGGTAGATACATAAATTATTTGTCAATTCATCCAGAGAAATACAAAATTAATATCATTATAAATTTAATGGATTACGCGATTCTACTGTCTAACGACAAATTTCATAGGCAGAATATTGAAATTGTGAAGGGAATCTTAGTTAACAATTGTTTTCCATTGAATATTGTCAATCGCATTGTTAATAAACGCGTCGGATTTTTAAGACACAATATGAATAATAATGAACCGCGTTGTCAACAGAAATTTGACTTAAAATCTTATTTTACATTGCCTTACATAAACCATCTCAGTGACAATATAAAAAATTCTCTCTCAAAGTTTGGTTTAAATGTAGTGTATTCGAAAAAATTAAATAGGATTATCAATCACGGTAAAGATAAGATTTTAAAATTGAATAGAACTGAAGTGATATACAAAATTGTATGTAAAAATTGTACTTTTTCTTACATTGGACAAACAAAAAGACACCTGAAAACCCGCATTAGGGGGAACAAAAATAATATTAAATTACATAAAAGTAATTACTCTGTAGTGAGCAAACATAGAGTTGAATTTGGACACGATTTTGACTGGGATAATCCGCGATAATTTTACATCATGAGAAAAATACTAAAAAAAGAGAAATAACTGAGATGTTTTATATGAAAAAGTGTAATAATACATTAAATTCTTAGATAGACACTGAAAGGAGAATGTCCAAAAAGTGCGATTTTTTGACCTCGAGCGGAAAGTAAAATTCGAGTTGTTTTAGGTCTCATACATTCAGAATATTGTAAAAACCATAGTGGTTTTTCCTGGAAATGCAGGGAATATTTAAATATCATCATATGTTTAGAGAAAATCACGTAAATCAATATCTCGCAATAAATCGAGATTGCTTGATGTTTTAGTCGAATATTTTGGTAAATATTTTGGTAACACCAACTTTCCAAGATCATTTAGACCGATTTTAATGTCAGTTAATCATAAATTGAATAATATATATACAGAGTATTTTTAAAGCCCGACTTGGGCTCTTTATCTTGGAAACGACTTAAGATACGAAAAAAGTTTCAAACAAAAGTTGTAGGATTATGAGGGGGACATAAGATTGTGCCATTGATTTGACCTTGAATAGTCATTTGAAGGTTACGTAAAAGTTATCTTTAATTTCTTTAATGGGACTACCTATTTTTTATTACATATTCTTATATGTTATTTCAAAAGCTT